TAATTTTTCATATTTATTTCCTATCTTATTCATAGCCTTTTCCTTTTTTGTTTTCTTTAGGTCACGAGCAGTTGTCCAAGCATTTCACTACATATCGTACTGTGTATGACTGTGTACGTGACAAATAAAATTTGAATTTGAATTTGAATTTGCAAGTACTAGATGATGAACATAAAAAATACTGTAGAGAATGGGTTGGTCAAATTTTTTTTTACATCCTACTCCACAAATAAAAGGGGGTTATTACTCTTATACACAAAAATCTTCCCTTCACTGTTACAGCCACTCACAAGGACAATGAAGAAGATATATTTTGGTTAAAGGGATGTTGCATGGGGTAACTGCTCTCCAAGGTACAGTGGGGCAAAAAAGTATTTAGTCAGCCACCGATTGTGCAAGTTCCCCCACTTAAAATGATGACAGAGGTCAGTAATTTGCACCAGAGGTACACTTCAACTGTGAGAGACAGAATGTGAAAAAAAAATCCATGAATCCACATGGTAGGATTTGTAAAGAATTTATTCGTAAATCAGGGTGGAAAATAAGTATTTGGTCACCTCAAACAAGGAAAATCTCTGGCTCTCACAGACCTGTAACGTCTTCTGTAAGAAGCTTTTCTGTCCCCCACTCGTTACCTGTATGAATGGCACCTGTTTGAACTCATCATCTGTATAAAAGACACCTGTCCACAGCCTCAAACAGTCAGACTCCAAACTCCGCCATGGCCAAGACCAAAGAGCTTTCGAAGGACACCAGGAAAAGTATTGTAGACCTGCACCAGACTGGGAAGAGTGAATCTACAATAGGCAAGCAGCTTGGTGTGAAAAAATCAACTGTGGGAGCAATCATCAGAAAATGGAAGACATACAAGACCACTGATAATCTCCCTCGATCTGGGGCTCCACGCAAGATCTCATCCCGTGGGGTCAAAATGATCATGAGAACGGTGAGCAAAGATCCCAGAACCACACGGGGGGACCTGGTGAATGACCTGCAGAGAGCTGGGACCAAAGTAACAAAGGTCACCATCAGTAACACACTACAACGGCAGGGAATCAAATCCCGCAGTGCCAGACGTGTTCCGCTGCTGAAGCCAGTGCATGTCCAGGCCCGTCTGAAGTTTGCCAGAGAGCACATGGATGATACAGCAGAGGATTGGGAGAATGTCATGTGGTCAGATGAAACCAAAGTAGAACTTTTTGGTATAAACTCAACTCGTCGTGTTTGGAGGAAGAAGAATACTGAGTTGCATCCCAAGAACACCATACCTACTGTGAAGCATGGGGGTGGAAACATCATGCTATGGGGCTGTTTTTCTGCCAAGGGGACAGGACGACTGATCCGTGTTAAGGACAGAATGAATGGGGCCATGTATCGTGAGATTTTGAGCCAAAACCTCCTTCCATCAGTGAGAACTTTGAAGATGAAACGAGGCTGGGTCTTCCAACATGACAATGATCCAAAACACACCGCCCGGGCAACAAAGGAGTGGCTCCGTAAGAAGCATTTGAAAGTCCTGGAGTGGCCTAGCCAGTCTCCAGACCTCAACCCCATAGAAAATCTGTGGCGGGAGTTGAAAGTCCGTGTTGCTCGGCGACAGCCCCAAAACATCACTGCTCTCGAGAAGATCTGCATGGAGGAATGGGCCAAAATACCAGCTACTGTGTGTGCAAACCTGGTAAAGACCTATAGTAAACGTTTGACCTCTGTTATTGCCAACAAAGGTTATGTTACAAAGTATTGAGTTGTATTTTTGTTATTGACCAAATACTTATTTTCCACCCTGATTTACGAATAAATTCTTTACAAATCCTACCATGTGGATTCATGGATTTTTTTTTCACATTCTGTCTCTCACAGTTGAAGTGTACCTCTGGTGCAAATTACTGACCTCTGTCATCATTTTAGGTGGGGGAACTTGCACAATCGGTGGCTGACTAAATACTTTTTTGCCCCACTGTAATATTTATCCCATCACAGTGATGCGATTTTACACATATATTATTTAGTCAATTAGTGGACATGGACTGTGCTAATATAATATTAGCGGGTGACTTTAACTGTGTTTTATGCCCAAAAATGGATAAACTTCCCCCACAATTTACTTTGACAAAAAATTCCAAAGCCCTTTGGCAAATTGTAAATGAGCTTGACCTTATGGACGTCTGGCGACACTATAGATCCACTATCGTAAAGAGTACACTTTCCACTCTAACCCTCACTTGTCAGCATCTGTATAGATTATATTTTTATGTCCAAGTGTATCAGTCAGTTAGTTCAGCAGGTAAATATTGGTCATATAGGCTCTCTGACCATGCACTCCTGTTGTCCTAACCATTCAACCCATGAGACATATTGAGCGCTCCATGTCTTGGAAGATGAGCACACTGTCCATTTTGAGATGAGAAATTTATACATTTCATAACAATTATGTATTTTGTTTTGGACTCTTGGTGCTCCTTGTGTTTTGTTTGGTTTCGTTCCCTCCGTCCTGGTCCCCCGCCTCCCGCCCTGGGTGGGTTGTTTTCGTTTTTTCTTGTTTTTTGGTTCTCGGGTTTGGGCTGTCAGGAGCCAGCCCTTGAGGGGGGGTGATGTTATTTCACAACTTATCTTATCAAATGGCTCATCAACTGAGGATCATCAAGCTATTAACAACATTTTAGAGAGTTTTATGCTAAATTATATTCCTCAGATTCAGCACCAGCTCAAAATAAGTTTAACGCTTTTTTTCAATTTGAATATTCCTATAATTGACTCTGACACGAAAGAACAATTGGAACAAAGTCTGACACTGGAAGAAATTAAAAATGCAATAATGTCCTTTCAGAGTGGAAAAGCCCCTGGTCCGGATGGGTTTCCAACTGATTTTTCTAAGAAATTTATGGACAAACTTGCCCCTCTTCTTCTCTTGGTTTACACAGAAGCAATAGAGAATAACATTCTTCCGCCTACGTTTCGGCAGGCATCTATTACACTCTTATTAAAGAAGAATAAGGGCGATCGTGGCTCAAGAGTTGGGAGTTCGCCTTGTAATCGGAAGGTTGCCGGTTCGAGCCCCGGCTTGGACAGTCTCGGTCGTTGTGTCCTTGGGCAAGACACTTCACCCGTTGCCTACTGGTGGTGGTCAGAGGGCCCGGTGGCGCCAGTGTCCGGCAGCCTCGCCTCTGTCAGTGCGCCCCAGGGTGGCTGTGGCTACAATGTAGCTTGACCATCACCAGTGTGTGAATGGGTGGATGACTGGATATGTAAAGCGCTTTGGGGTCCTTAGGGACTAGTAAAGCGCTATATAAATACAGGCCATTTACCATTTTAAGGACCCCCGAGATTGCTCATCCTGTAGACCAATCAGCTTAACAAACTGTGATGGCAAAGTGTTCTCAAAAGCCATTGTACTCTGACTTGAGAAAATTCTTCCTCATATTATTTCAGGGGACCAGACTGGGTTTGTCCAGGGTAGACAATCCTATTTTAACCTGAGACGATTGTTTAAACTTTATTTTATAGGTTATTCAAAGGTCACCATCCCCCCAGACTGCTCCAAAACGGACCAAAATGGTCTACGTTTTTAGTCTTTCGTTTGTGCTGATTTGTGCAGGTAAAATTATCGTTTGTGCTGCTACGGTTTCTGACATATATTGATTTTAATTCTTACGGCCTACGCTATATAACAACAATCTCTGTGACAGTGAGTTTCAGCAGCTGTGGCGTTATGCACTTTTATAGAAGACTGTCCAGTTTTTTTTAGGCTTGCTGTGTATTTATGAATGTTTTGTGTGTTTCAGTACATTTTAATAAACCAATTTCGTCAGTGGAAAGGTTGATATTTCTGTTACCAGTGCAGAAACGTACACAAGGTAGGCTAAAGTTTTTATTTTTTTCTGCAGAAAACACTGAGTTACATGTGAAGTGATTTAGTTTGTCTGTATGATTTTGTTTTTAATTATCTATGTTCATTATCAGGGGCGGTTCTATATGGCGTTATTTTTGTGCCACTATTCTGAGCGCACGTACAAAGAATTTGGGCGCACATAAAAAAGAATTTCAGGTGCAAGTGTTGCTTTTTTTTTTTTTAACACTTTATTTGTAGTTTTCCAATTATCATACATGGCATTCTTATTATTTTACAGATAACCACAAAACAACAATCCCCACAGATCATAAAGACAGATAATACCAAGACAGGAAAAGGGAAACAAACAAACACAAGCAAAACAAACAAAAAGGGCGGTGCACCTCTCAATTGTTTTTACAGGACTGTTCAGGGCAAACAAAAACATTCAAGATTCCAGTTCCGAGCCTGGTAGATTGTTGACGTATGTTAACAGAGGGTCCCATGTTGTGTGGAATTTGCTGATGGATCCGTTGAGAGTACATCTGATTTTTTCCAGTTTGACATTTTGCATAACATCCCTTATCCAGTGGTGGTGCGATGGAGCAGTAGTAGACTTCCATTTAAATAAAATCAGGCGTCTCGCTAATAATGACAAAAAGGCAATGACCCTCTGTAAATGGGCAGGGGGAACAGAAGTCACGATACCAGAGAAACAACCAAAATCACAAGGGGCAAGGCGAGATGTTATAGGCATAGGCTTTAGAGATGACTTCAAAAAATGATGACCAGAAAGGAGCAATTTTCGGACAGGACCAAAACATATGAAGGGAAGTAGCTGGAGTCTGTTTGCATCTATCACACGATGGGTCTATGTTCGGAAATATTTTTGCTAGTTTAGCTTTTGAAAAATGTAACCTGTGTAACACTTTGAATTGTATTAGGGAGTGTCTTGAACATATAGAAGACGAATGGACCCTGGTAAGAGCCATATCCCACTCTTCGTCAGACAGCTGGGCACCCAAATCATTCTCCCACTGTTCTCGAATGTATGAAATAGACAGGTTACAACTGTCCATGATATGTGAGTAAATAAATGATATTCTGCCTTTTTTCATCTCATTGACCCTTAGTATTTTT